TAAAAGAACACAATAACACTACTTAATAGAGCACCTTCTCAGCTATAAAACACTATTTTTCAACAGTCACCATGAGCTATGCATTTTGGCCAACCGTGAACAAGAGTCTGCATGCCACATACATAAAAACCTGCACCAGTATGGGTGTCTCACTGTTGCTGTGGCCGCTGCTGAAATGCACCACCTGCTGCCTCACTTTGCTCACATCTGCTGTTTGATCTCTAGAAACGTTCAGCAAACATCAGTGAATGTCAGTGCATGCTATTATTTCCACATGGAGGAATTTAATTCCACTCTTTTTCTTCATACGCACTTCCATGTCAGGCTCCAATTTGTCAGCCTGTCCCTCTGCTTCCATCTGTCACACAGCAACAAAATGTAGCGGAATATTAGTGGGAAGGTTCAACATCTACTGCTTTACCATCAATGCCCGCCTCCAACATGGCAGTATAGTAAAATAGAAGGCACTGCTTTCAGAGCAGCCCTTGTAATTGCAGCTTCTCTTGATCACTTCCTTCAGAATGCATAAAGTTATGACATCCAGACTGTGAAGGTGTATTAAATTGATTTGCAAGCTTGCCTGGCCAGAGCCCTGTCTTACTGCCTTCCTATGTAATGTCAGGCATGCCTGTGGCACCATATGAATAATCATATTAGTAAATAAAAAGTATCAAAACCAAACAAAAATAAAAATAAAAATTCAGAAACTGAAAAAACCCTACTAAATTCATCAAATTAGATTTTTGATCGGATCATATTTTTTAATGGTTTAGCCATTAGCTCTGTCTTAGCCCCTGTAGCTACTTTTATCCAAAGCAGTTGTCAAGTTAAGGATCTATATTGCAGAAAGAGAATACTGATAGTTCTTGTAGACAGTTTACTTCTAGTATCCATCAGAGGATATGAACCAAAGCACATTTCAGTTGCCTTTTCTAGTGACAGGGCAAATGTTTTAAGCCAAGTTTGTGACCAGCAAATTAGTGTGCATAAAATGTAGACAAAAAATGCTAAAGCTTTAGCACTTAAAGTTTCTGATCACACAACTGGGCTGCTGTTTTCTGAGGATCCTGATATTGGTTCAGCTTAGTTTTACAAATATGTGACCCTGCATAAACTTGTATATTCTACAAAGGCATTAATCAAAACTTGCTATTTTGTTTTATTGCTATCTGTCCTAAGTCTCAGCAAACCAAAGAGAATTACAACCATACGACCAAGTTATCAGTCACTAGCAGATATCACTAAGCAAATTTCTGTGTGCTACACTAGGAACTAAAATCTGTCTATAAAAGGAAAATAACAAAACAACTTTCTTCAAACAATAAGTCATCTGAGATGAATAACAAATTTGTATAAATCATTATTTGATTGCAGTTTCTGTAATACTAGAGGGGAAAAAACGGATAAAAATTTTCTAAGTATGTTATTCACCATGTATTATTCACTCAGTTTCACTTAATCATCCAGCCTCTGTAGGTGCCCAAGGCAAACCTTCAAACCTCTGATTTATTTTTCGTCTCATTTAGAAGCTGTCATACAATTGCAATGTATTAGTTCCAAACAGCAACAATTTCAGAAATGCACAGAACAGAACTGATCGATTCAATTATTCTCTACTGGAAGAGGAAAATACCCCAAAATGTGTGAAATGTTTGAAATATTTCATGCCAGAAATAAATTAAATTTAAATTGAATCCTATTTTAAATATTCATACAGTTCTAGCCCTACAGTCCTTCCTGATTCCCTAAGTTTGCTAGGCATGAATGAGAATTCTTGTAGTACAATACTATTATATTTACCAAATAAGTGTTTTCTTTTTCTTCATTGTTAAGTCTCTGGCCGAAATAATATGTATTTTTTGTTTTTCCTGACATGTAATAGCAGTCTCCTATCTATATTATGTAGTGTATAAATCAGTTTATTTTCCTTTCTATAGTGTCCATGACCAAGTACATATATTTTATGGTACAGTCACCAGATGGAACTCATTTACAAAATGTAGAGGGTCAGGGAGCACCAACAAGACTCTGAGGTGCCAGACTGCTAGGTAGAGGTTTGCTCAAGGAAAAAGGGCAGCTTTTATTTCTTTACTTTGGGATTTAACCTTTCCAAAGTTTTATGTGAGTTCCAGCCTTTGTCTTTTCCACTGAGATTTCTGTACAAGTTGTAATCCTGTTTGCATTACTTCCAGAAATCTCGGTCTCATACTCAACAGGCATGTAAAGATGATACGGATGTGTGAGTGCAGATCCAGTCCCTAGGCTTCTGCTTTGATGCAGTGGCTCTGATACATCTGGGAAGCTATGAGCAAACTGTGCATATACCTCACAGATGGCTTGCATGTGAGTTATAACCCTGATGCATTTGGAATGGGTCAGATAATGCGTTAGCACATTGAAATTCAGTAAAGACATAGGGAAAATATCAACTCCATTCCTTCTCTTCCCTCAGATTGCATTCAGTTTCCAGGAAGGCACCTTTGGCATGCATTCTTATATCAGAAGGGAGGGGAGAGAGCAACTCTTTAATCTAGTACACTAGGTTTTTTAAATCATTCTTTTCTGATGTATAATGTACAGGATGTAGAGCTGCAGAGAGCTGACGCTTGCTTAAAGTAAGTATCTTTCCCCAAAAGAGAATGGAATGACCCTCACTAGTCTAAGGAAATAAAATCTATACTGGAGACAAAAGACTCTGCCTTTAAAAACAGTGGGCTGAAACCAGCATCCTGCATGGTCTGCAGCTGCAGTCTTCATGCTGCATGATATAGTCACCTATCACTTACTCTGTTGATCAGGATATCCACTGAAGAAGCAGCTACCAGGCAAATTTCTGTTCCCTATTCTGTTCACACTACAGAACCAAGCAGTGTCAGCTGGTGATATTTATGGTGCCTGGAGAAAAGTAGCAGGGAATTCTGTGTCCAGAGGAGCATCCTCAAAAGAAATAGAGAGGAAGATTTTTGTTTTCTTTACAAAATCTTTAAAATGATTATTTTCAATACAGAAGAAATATCACAGAATCACTAAGGCTGGAAAAGACCTATAAGATCATCCAGTCCAACCATATTTATTTATTGGGCTCTCATTTCAGGGAAAGGAGGAGGGGAGAGAAAAGTAACTTCTGTTGATGCTAAACTAAGCTGGAGTAGTTTCTTCAGTGTCCTAGTTCAGCAGTGGATTATTTGCCTAGACCCATGGTTCCCTGACTGAGAGCTGTAGAGACACTGCAAAAATAAATGCATAATTTCTGCAGCATGAAGTGTTCCATTTGACTTCTTTTGTGGCCTGGCCTCAACTATTTCACAACAGCTACCGGTATTAGATGAGAGAAAATCCCACAAGTAATGAAGAAGGGTGTAAAATCTGACAAACTGTAAGCTGTATAAGTGCAACAAACAGGGTAGAAAAGAACTAGGAGATCAAATACAATAAAACAAAAAGCTATTCTTATTGGCGCTGAATAAGACATGCTTAGGGTCTCTAAGAAAGATTATAAGCATACATTTATAAAATCTTGTGTAAGGAGCTGTAAATATTGGGAATTGCCTTCTGTGAATTGTCTTGGTCTGCCTGTAGGAAAAGACAATCCCATTATTACTAACAGAGGCCATAGCTGGAAAGGTGAAAGCAGAACCCTGGTAATTCAGCCCAATCCCACCCCTCAGCTGAGGAATCTGATTCTCTGGTGAACTTTCTCTTATTATGAAGCAAGTGAAAATAGGATTCTGCAGTTGTAAACTAGCAGCAAACTAGTGTATTTCTAGCGGTTCTCGTTTTAATGCAAATATAAATTCAGAGAGATGGATGTTTCTATCATTTCAACACTAGCACAGAATTAAAATATCAGCAATATCCATGAATTAAATGGGCCTCATCTCAACACTTTTTACAGCAATTGAGATAGCATTTTGTATATTTTGTTCACAAACAGCAATAAATATATTCATGAGCATTGTTTTTTGTTATTGCCAGGATTTATTATGCAGCACTTATTTTCTTGGTCTTGCATAAAACAAAACAAAAAAGAAGCACGAATTCTTGCAAAGCAATTTCTACAATACTACCAGTATGTCTAAGATGTTGTAATCCTGCATTTCTGCAAGGACTGTATCCAGCATTCTTAGATGGGCATGTGAGTATCTCTGAACAAATTCATTGTTAAGATATCATATTATTTACTAGATCCAAAGCACCTGAAACATGCTGTTGTCTACCACTCATGTACACATCTTTTAAGATTAGAACCCAGACCACCAGGAAATGGCCTACCCTTAGGCTGTGATGAGAAAGTGTGGTTGCCCTTTACTCCTTTGTGGTTTGAAAGAAAGAACATAGAATTCAAAAGACTATGTTCTAATGATGATTAACTATGATCTAACTACGTTAGAGACCACAAGTCTCTTTTCTGAAATAAGTGGAGACCAAGCATCAGCGAACAAGTCCCAAGAGGGGGATGCTCACTAAAAGGCAAACACACACGCTGCTGGGTGGCTTCTTCAGATCTGCATGAAGCTGATGAGAAAGCCCATGTTGGACCTGAAGCTGAGGCCGAGCAAGAACTGCCTGTGCACGTATGGGCTCTTCAGAAAAGATGATAGGAACATGGCACATTCAAGAGCATTCTGCTACTTTTCAGAAATGTAAAGATTCTCTACCTAATAATTAAAAGAGAAACCAGAAAAAAGGCCAAACTGCAATTATAACACACAGCTTTTTTTTTTTTTTATCTTTTTCTCGTTTTTCACTCCATTCTGTGGAAGGCTTTGATACACATCTAGCAATCTGGGAACACTTAATTTAAGTAAATAAACAAACAAACCCTAAAACTTACCATCTTCATCACTTTACCATCTGTTCTCTGGGTGAGTATTTTTCAATAATGCAAAGCTCTGGCCAGCTGTAGCATAAGCCTACTGATTTTAACAGGGTATGACATGCAAGTAACTAGAGGCAGAATCTGATCATTAATTTGGTATTAAAGCCAATTTATTCATTCTTTTATAATATCTTTTACAGAGTTTCCTGTCCAAAATATTATATCAGTTCAAAACAAATTAGTTTAAGGTAAATTCAGTTAAAGTGGTTCAAAACTCCTGAGTGGACGCACTTAACTTGTTTTAAAACTGAAACATCAACCTAGGTTAAATTGATCTCTTGTAAGAATGAGCAAAATCAATATACATGCCGACTTTAACCTGTTTAATTCACTAGGTAAATTGGTTTAAAAAACCTAATAATTTCACATCACATGCTGAGACTTGCTTATCATGGTGAGTGCCATTGTCTTCCTGTTTTCTGGTAGCTCTGTCTCTCAGCCTCTGCTCACTGGCCACACTGCCTTTCCAACTCCTGTCTCCTTTGGAGCTTATGTCTGAACATTGTGCAGGATCTGGTACCACAGGAATGCTGTCAGTGAGAGGGACTCATGATAATCATGACATTAAAACAGCATAACTTTACATGCACTTTAAAGCTTCAGTTCTAAATGCTGGAATTCCTGTCTAGTGGTTCTTGGACTTTCTGCACAGAAATGTGCACCTGCTTTCTACACCAAAAAAATAGACCTGTTTAGACAAAAGAATGTTCCGAATTGCTGGGAAGAGGAAAATAACTTGCAATCTTCTTTAAATTGCTGGCTCTGAAATACAAATGCACATATGGTTAATTAAACAGGAATAAAAAAAAGTGAGAAGAATCTGTATGAAAACTTAAGCTTCTAATGATTAAAACAAATTATATATATATTTTAAAAGTATCACTATTTCCAATTGCTTCATGTTCAGAAAGAATGAAATTACAAGTTGGCTGATTCGTAACTTGAAACAAAATACCATTTTCCCAGTTAAGTGCATGGAAAGCATGCTGTTTCTTTTACTTGATTCAAAGTCTCATTCCTTGGGAAGTGCAAAAAGCCACGAGATATGAAGAACTGTGAAAGGGCATCATACAAGTTTGACAGTTCTACTAAGACAACATTATAAAATTGCTTTCTGATTGGCATGTTGTATGTAGAAAATGGCACAAGTTTGTAAGGGGAAAAATAATTAAATTCTTATGATAAAATCTAAATTGTATTTTACTCCGGAATAACTTACAATTCATTTGCTCTAATTTTTATTCTGTGACTGTAAAAATATGTGCTATATCTCATTTATTTCATATTTTTGGAAGCAAGAAGCCCTTTGAAGATACGCATCGATAATTTTCAACATTGTACTAGGAAACTCTTGTCTTTGATAGCCACATAATGAGTAAAGGATACTGAATCCTTTTGCAAGACTTATTCCAGTGAAATATATCAGTTGTTAAAAGATTCATACCAGCAAATATTTCTTTTCTGCTCACATTTAAAAGCAGACAGCAATTTAAAGAAACGTGGCAAGACAAAAATATTAAACTGTAATGCTTTAAATAGAAAGTAATAGGAAATATTTCAGGAACATGGTAAATGATGAGAAGAGGATGAAAGCAGTATTTCCCAGATAGGCATATCTGTACTTCTTGTAAACATTATGCAGACATTGCATTAAGATGTCTCCTGTCATAGCACAGAATGATTGATAAAAATGATTCAGGGTCCAGACAGTGATAATACTGAGCAAAAAAACATGGGGGGCGGGGGACGGGCAGAGGGCAGAAATCCTTTTAGATTGACCTTTAACTGATAAATTGATGATGTCCTCATTAGCAGCAACCCTGCTGCTTGCCCTCAATAAAAGATAATGTCCTGCTGTTAACACTATTCCCGTTTCTGTGATTTAACACTACTATTACAGTGCAGATTCTACTTAAACGGATTAAGGTTTAAATTAAGATAAAATATTGTTGGGTCTGCACTGTTTGTCTCTGAACCAAGCAGTATGATTTCATTGCCTGTGACTGAAAATCTGCAAGCTATAGGGGCATTTATCCAATGACATTAGAGCCAAGGTTTTCACAGGAAAACCTTTCACCTATACAATAGCCAATTTGTTTAGTATTTGGTGAGTAATATATCAAGGCAGTCTGTTTATGATTAACTGTTACCCACAGTTTCATCCTTTTCTGCCAAAAAACAAAATAAAACAATAGTAGAATGACTGTATTTTCTTAGAATGCAAAATTTGTAGGGTTCACAATGTAGTTAGATAATGACTGTTGCCTATTACACACAACAGAAACACTATGAACTGCCCCCCTCTACAATGATGAAAATACTGAAAGAGATGTGCCATTATTAATTTGTTTTAGCAACACATTTATTGGGTTTTGAAAAAAAACATTTTTAAGAAACAATCCTAATTGTCATGGCTAACCAGCTTCTATGCTTATTTGTTAATTAGACACTAGACATGAAGAAATCTCTACATTGGTTTGAGTCTTCTGATGCTTATATAGGGACTATCACTACAGAATCCAAAATGTCGTGGTCTAACCCAAGCAGATAGCTCAGCACCACACAGCCATTCACTCTCAGGTGTGATGTGCAAGAGAATTGGAAAGGCAAAGAACTCATGGGTTGAGATAAATACCACTTACTAGGTAAAAGAAAACCCATATGCACAAGCAAAGCAAGGAATTTATTTGTTCAGCCACTCTGGAAAGCAGAGATCATCATAAGTAATAGTTTCTTGGAAAGAAAAGCGTCATCACTCCAATCACCCTCCCCTTCCTCCTCCACTACACTAGCTTTTATTGCTGAGCATGACACACTATGGTATGGGACATCCCTTTGGTCAACTGGCTCAGCTGCCCTGTGTCCCCTCCCATCTCCCTGTGCACCCTCAGTCCTGGTTGGCAGGGCAGCACAAGGAGCAGGAAAGTCCTTGGCTTTGTGCAGCAGTGCTCTGAAACAACTAAAACATTGATGTCTGATCAACACCGTTACTATCAAAAACAGAGCATTATACACACCACTATGAAGAAAATTAAAATATGTCTCAGCTAAAACCATAATGGAAAGCAATACAGTCACAGGATAGAGCAGCATGATTTTAAAACTCTGGTATTTTGTTTCACTGGTATGTACATGCCACCACACAACATACCTACTTTGGTCAAAAGCAAACACACAAAGTAATTTGACAGATGTAATTGCTTTCCACAAGATAAACATGGTTTAGAAATCAATGCTATCCCAAGTATAACTTTCCACTATAGGAAAGTTCTTGCACATGAAATATATTTCCAACTCATAGAATCATAGGATGGTTTATATTGGAAGGGACCTTTAAGATCATCTAGTTCCAACCCCTGCTATAGGCAGGGATACCTTTCTCTCGACCAGGCTGCTCAAAGCTCCATTCAGCCTGGCCTTGAGTGCTTCCAGGGACAGGGCATCCACAACCTCTTAGGTCAAACTGCTCCAGTGTCTCACCACCCTCACAGTAAAGAGTTTCTTCCTAGTATCTAGTCTAAATCTAGTTTCCACTTTAAAGCCATTTCCCCTTGTCCTGTCACTACCTGACCTTATAAAGAAAGTCTCTCCTCAGCTTTTCTGCAGGCCTTCTTCAAGTACTGGAAGCCTGCTGTAAGATCTCTGCAGACTCTTCTCTTCTCTAGGCTGAAGAACCCCAATTCCCTCAGCCTGTCCTCATAGAGGAGTTGCTCCAGCCCTCTGATCATCTTCATGGCCCTCCTCTGGACCCACTCCAACAGTTCCACATCCTTTTTGTGTTGGGGGCTCCAGAACTGGATACAATACTCCAGGTAGGGTCTCACAAGGGCAGAGTAGAGGTGCAGAATCATCTCCCTTGACCTGCTGGTCATGCTTTTCTTGATGCAACCCAGGATATGGTTGGCACGTTGCTGGCTCATGTTGAATCTTTCATCAACCAACACCCTCTAATCCTTCTCCTCTGGGCTGCTCTCAGGTCATTCTCTACCCAACCTGTATCTGTGCTTGGGATTGCCCCGACCCAGGTGTAGAACCTCACACTTGGCCTTGTTGGACTTCATGAACACCAGAACATAAATATATATATTTTTTTTCTTCTCAACTGAATGGACAACATCCTGATCTCACAAGTCTCAGTATTATGATCCTGTGGGCACTACTTGTCAGTATAGTCTCTCAGAGGTGATGGCCTCTGGGTGGTGACAGAGGGTTACCTGTTGGCCCCATGACCAGCAACAGGCTGGAGGCAATTTCCCTTGCCCCCCCCCCCCCCCCCCCACACACACACTCAATCTGGTAGGTGTAAGCCAGGGGAAGGGGCCAGAGCTCCAGCATCTGTTTTCCCTCAGAGGTGTTCTAATGACAATATTGCACTGAGTGACCAGAGCAGTGGGCCCAAGGCTTGGGTGATGAATTGGCTCCTCAGATACCCTGGCACTAGGTAATGCCACGTTGGAGACTCTCATTCCCCTTGTCTTTCTATGTGTAGCAGAAAAAAACATGTGATCTCCACTCTCTCTCTCCAGGCTCCTTTTCCAATTGCTTTATGAGCCCTTGGTCCCTCTGGTAATCAGCTCCCACATGTGCCCTCTCTTTCACCATGTTAAACAGGGCTTTAATCAAAAGGTTCACTATTTCATCCTGGATTCTTTCCAGAAGAGGAAAAAAAATAAGAAAATCACACATAATTGCGAGAAACAGCTGTCACAAGCAAAAGGTAGGCAAGTAACAGAGAGAGTGACTGGAATAACAATATCCAAAAGACCTGAATAAAGTGATGTTATTCAACGTGCACTTTCAAATAGAATTATTTTCAGTTGAGAAATTTGTGAGGTTTGACTCTTATTGCAATTTTTTCAATGCATATCTTTCTTCAAGGAATTTGTACCTGACAGTAGACAATTTTTTTTTTTTTTAAAATCTCTATTCCTGACAAGAGTGGAATCTGAACTTGCAATAATAACTTGGGCAAAATTTATGGGTTTCACAATCCCATTAAAAATTTGAGACAATTCATAAAGATCTATTCTGCTGCATTCTCAGGAATTTCAGATTCATGTTAAATGGTCCACTACTGCTATTGGATGTGGAATAGATTTATAAGGAGAAATGGCAACAATTGGATCTTTAGTGCTTGAAACTTGAAACTCAAAATCAACATAATCTCAGTTATTCAAAGCTTTCATTGAAAGTCCAATCTGAGTTTTCAGCTATTTTTCTGAGCTTTAAGCAAAAATGTATGCTTAGCTAAAGACATACTTACATGAAAAATATCTAGTTCTATATAAATTAGATATATTATTTTAAATCATTACTTCATGCTGACTGCAACTTTTACAACTACATACACCATGTAATGTGTACTCACTTGTAAAAAAAATTATGTTCAGTGTTCTGTACTTTGACCTTATGTACCTTATTTTCCTTACACTACTTAACATATGCATACCTATGTATATTTACATATACTTAGGAAAAGCATTTCTTAAATAAAAGCAGTGGATTTACAAACTTCCCTTAGAAAAGATAATGCAGTGAATTTAAATACTTTCAATTATTCAGTTACATACTGATTTCTATCACACTGTAGTTAACAGTGGGAGGCTATTTTATAATTTTATGAGCTTAGTGGTAATGAGAAAAAATTATCTTTAGATTAATAGTGTAATTATTATCTCTGTTCTCTTTCTGTAGTTACTCTTGTTATTTTTGTTCATCAAAAATAACTTGAAAATTTCAAATGCTTTGAAGTTGCACCTTTTTTGAAGCAACTTTATGATCAGAGAAGCTGAAAGGCAATATAAATGTTAAATAATGTTTTACACATCCTTTTATATTCCTAACTTTTAACAACTTTCGAGTGCTAATCTGAAGCCCCGGACAACATTTTAAGAGGTTTATTTTGCTTATTTTAAAAGTTATTTAATATTGTAATTAGTGATAATTTTGGAGCATTGCATTGACAAAAAACTAGTCTCAGTTAAATTAACAATAATTTGTATCATTTCTTTTTTTCAGAAAGCATTATTGAGTTCATTGTGTTAGCAGAAGTTAAAGATGAACTGTTCTTATAACCATTGGAGCATGTAGTATAGTCAGAGAAAAGAGGGGAAGAAGCCCAATAGTCATCTCTGGCAAGGGCAAAGTTTTAGGAATTGCTACAGCTGAAGAATGAAGTAGAAGTACTTTTTTCACTGCACTAAAAGAGAGCTTTGATGAGTTGGAGGGGATGGGATTCAGCAGTATATTTAAGAGGACAGAGATATATGTTTGTTGATAGAACTTAGATACACAAGTGCTAGGGAAGACATAAAAATACATGAACTTAAATGTTATTTTTCACTGCTCCTGTTGTCCAGGTGCAGTTTATCTTCAACATTCAACATACATATGGAAATACCACCTCTTAAATATTTTAGAAAAGAAACAAATTTGAAAAGAGGAAAGAAATCAAGAGGAATGAGAAGTTGAAACATTTTCCAAAAGGCCACAGAACTGAGTCTCCTGACAAAGAGCAAGGTCATTCAAGTGTATAAGCCAATCTGTTTCTCAACAATAATGTTGGATAATTTGGAGACTGAGAGCACAATAGCTATTTTTACTGCTATGCTTTATAGAAAAATAACAAGAGAAGTGAAACTGCTAACATTTAACAGTTGCGCACCCAAAGTATTACTGCTTATCAACAGAGTAGTACCAAAAAACTCTGCAAAGCCATCTCAACAAAGCAAAACTACACACAAAAAATATTTCTGTCTCTTCCCTTTTAGTTTATAAATTTACAATTTTTTTAAAGAAAATGCCACATCTTAACTTCAAGAAACTATTTTATTACAACAGGAGAGGAATAAATACTAGATGTCTTAAAGAAATTAATCTCTTTTTCAAACATAAGGGTGTGGTATTTTGTTACCGAGTTTTTGTTGTGTTGTTTTGTTTATTTTAAAGAGAAAAAAGAGAGCTCTCCATTTTCTACCAGCAACAAACTCTTGGAAAAATTTGCTTATGAAATTTAGTAAAGGATTTTTTCTTTTTCCACATTGCATATAGATGTCTTGAATCATCTCTGGATTTCTCCTGTGGCATTAGCCTACAAATACAGGAACAGCTCTATTTCAAATTTCTATTGAGATCAGCCCTTAAAAAAAAGTCACACGCATGCCCATTCCCTTTATGCACAACATACGAAAAATAGAGTTTTCATGCTGCAAAACAGGAATCAGAAGTTTAATCTCTGGAGACAGAGCTCTACCTTCCAGTGAAGAATTACCTCCTCTTTCCTTTTATTTATACATTTATCCTTGGTTGGTGTTTATGTGTTTGTTTTGAGGGCTTTTTGTTGTTGTTGTTTTATTATTTAGGTTGGTTTTTGTTTTCCTGTTTGTTTTAAACCAAAAAAATACCCTCAACTTGACCAATGGTCTTTTGAAGAGGCAGTGTTACACAGTTGCAAGTTGGAGCTAAACAAGAAAATGCAAGTATTTTGGGGGATGTAAAGAAGTTAGATTATTTCTCTTATAAAGTTAGTCTTAGAGGTTTAATTCTGATACTACATAACATGTTTCAAAGGTCATAGCATTAAAAGCAAATGCAGCAATCCACATGCACTTCCCTAGAACTTGCGGCAAAGAAATCTTACCTATGATTCACATAGGCTTGTGAATACTCACAGGAAACCCCGAACCTCATATGTGAGCACCTCCTGAGGGAAAATTAGTCATTTCACACAGCACTAATGATAGTTTGCCAGTGTTAAATTAATGGCATCCTTTGGGAAGAAGGTAATAACATTTTTTCCTGATTAACCTAACTGGCTGCAGGACTCCACTGTAGTTCTGTTAAAATTCATCATCAAAACCATTTTTTGTGTAGTGCCTTGAATTGGAAATCTTGATTCTCAGAGCTGAGAGGGCAAATGGCAGTTTCTGGTGTTCTACTGGTTTCTGTAATTACTTGTGATCACAAACTACATTTATTCTCATAAGATTTAGTTAAGTTGTAAAATCAAATGATATCCTACAAATCCTCAGAATAACTTTTTACATCAGCAAATCATTCAGTCTTTTTCAGTCTAGTCATCTCCAGTATGAAAGACACTGTATGAACCAAAACTGACTTCGGAAGCTGAAACTTGATGCAGTACACACAGGTTACATAGATTAGAACAATGTAGTTCACCAGGTAAAGAGCTTATATATACCTATTAATTTGATATACACTGCATTTTTTTTTCCCTCAGATTTCTAGCTTTCTATTAGAAGAAACAGAATAGAAAAAGAAAATTAGAGTGAATGTTTTTTTTTTTTTTTCAGAACTTTCTAATATACTACTATGCTATTTACTGTGTGCTTCTTCTTACGTAAAGGACTAGGGAAAACATTCCTAAGGAATTCTGTGTAATATAATAGCAAAATTCAATGGAAACGGCAACAACAACTAAGCTTTCAGTTTGCAGTGAAGACTCATTTGTTCTTTTTTCCTCCAAAACATCTCTGTAGTAAAATTCCTTAATATTTTGAATTAAATTTTTCTTTGACATATTACCAATAACAACAATCTTTCAATGCTTATAGAAAACAGTCTGCAACAGCTAATGTAGAAATGAAGCTGCATTGGCATGAAATATATGTTAAGAACAAAAAAGTGTTAGAGAAATAAAGATGAATTTTATGACAAGCATTAAATCCTACTAATTTTTCTCTTGGGGACAGATGCTCTGGGCCATATCCTATTTCTTTTACTTTCTGTTTGAGGTTTCTTTAGGACTTTAACACATATAAAAGAGAAACCTCAGCAGTCAGTCCAGTTGGTTGAATAACATCAATTACTGAAAGAACATGAGCAATGCTTAGTCCCCACTTAAAATTGATGGGAAATTTACTTTGGTGAAATACAGCACCAATATCTAGTTTGGACCTTCATGGTGAGTGCATCAGCTTTGTATAGCAATATTAACTACAGGAACATAAATGAAACAAGATTACTAATGGAAACTAACTCTGTAAAGGTGTATTTAGAAACTTAATTATTTTATTAAACTGATTCTCTGCTAAAGGACCTTACATTTTTCTTGATAAGTCAATACGAATCACTTCACGTCTTATTACCCATGAGATCTCCAGAGAACTCAATTTAAAATTCATGGGAGACTACTATCTAATGATTCATTTCATTAATAACTTTTCTCCCTGGTTTCTAGGCCACATATATTCTGGACTCTGAAAGCTTACCCTAGTTTTTCAGAAGAAGATTTTAATTGCCTTGTTTTTTGGCAAAGATAGAATGCTAGATCAGTCTCTGAAGGTCACGACAGCAGTATCAGAAAAACTTTAAAGTGTGTTCAAAGAGAATTCACGTGTACTGATGATGCAGGGTTCCCCCCGCTGTCATCCATAGGAAAGAAATCTACTTTAAATTGTCATCTCACTTTTCAAATATATAGTAAGAGGGGCAGCAAAAAGGATTTGACAGCTACAAATATGAGAACATGAGAATTGATAGCTATTTAAAAAGTGACAAGGAGGGTAGACTCAAAAGACAAAATGAACAAAACTTTAGTTCTTCCATAAGTGGAGATAAGTCAAACAAATTCTTGTTTCTTCTCCAGATGTGTACTTTTAAGAGCAGAATACATTTAGTGCCCAGTTCTTGATATACAGAAAACTATTTTGACTCACATCATTCCATGACCAAGATCACTGTCCGTGCTTTATACCTGATGTGAAAAAAATTCCCAAAGTTAACTGTGTGCATTCCTGCAGACTGTCTAAGGATGACCCATAAAGCATACTGTGCTGTTTGGTAACCTCTACAGGGAGCTGTGTGCACAGCAGCTAACATGCAGAGGAGGATGGGGTTTACAAACTGTTCTCACCTGGGTCAGGGTGAGGTAAGGGTTTTCTTTTACTCATAGATGTTTAAATTATTAAGTCAGACTTAACTGCATATTTAAAATCAGAATTACAACTAAAACTGGGCTTGTTGGAACATCTCACATAGTCATTTCTATAGCTGGTAGTTGCATTTCTATAGACAGTAGTTCTATTTCCTTTATCAGAAAGCACAGCACGTAAGTACTTTAAAAAGACATACAGGAAACAAATTTCAGTCATGCTGCTTCTGAGACAATCTCATATTTGAGATTCCATTGAAAGCTGAATACAGAATTGTTTTGTTTCTCTTATGTAAATCTCTCATGAAATCTAGAGCCTTTCCCAGCACAGTATGCCCTGAGCCTGTTTGCCAAAATGCCACAAGAACAGACAAATTTCTGAATTTGCCCATTTGAAAATTGGACACCTGTGAGGGGCTCCTCAGAGTTGGTAGACCATACATCCCTTTCATCTATACAATCATTTTGAAAAGATGACAAGATCCATTTGAAACTGCAGGTTCTTTTATATCTTAGAAACTGATGGAATAAACAATGCCATAAGCTTCTTGAGTGGATGCAGTTTAGATTTTCAGCACTGCTGATCTGAGCCCTGTGTACTCTGTATTCAGTCAGAAGTTGGACACGCCATGCAAACGCCCCCTTCTCTTTCATTTCACGTGAGTTTCAGCAGAAGGTTATCTAACTAAAGATGCATGTTGACTGTATAATCAAAGAAGATTAAGATTCTATAATTATGAAATAAACAAGAGAGTTAGGCAAAGCAGCTTATAATAACAAAAAGACAATAGATAAGATGCTTACCTGTATTCTGAGCTGGCTTATGAAACTCCAACAGAGCAGATCTCCAGAAGAGATCCTTGCCCACTGGTAGTTAGCTCTTAAATGGGTCTAGGAGAGGTGGAGCCAGGCTCCACCCCTTTCTGCAGCACAGGTGAATTGCTTTCACCTGTGCTCCCATGGCTGACTCATTGCTCACCTCAGGTGATCAATCAGAGGTTGAGGCTGTGACTCAACAGTTCCCATACACTCCACCCCTTCACGGCATGAACCAATGCTCAGGTTGACTAAAGGGTTTTTCCTAATACAGAGATGTGCTATATCACGACGCTTATACAGTTTCCATTGTGACGCATGTTGGTACAATTCAAGACAAGTGACAATTGGTGAATGTTCATATTCATTTATGGGCCAGTGCTCGATGATGTTACTGGAGGCACGCGATCATGAGGTACAGGTCTATCATACGTTCCATCAGTCCCATGTAGGCCATCACTGGATGTTGCATGTGATCTGACAGTAATACTAGAACGCTTTGATGACATTTTGTTCCCTCCAGCGATCCTGAAGGCTTAAAGACTCACAGGGAGTAATACAGATGTTTCAGGGGTACCAGGAGGGGAAGGTCTGTCCTCCAGGGCAAGATACAGGCCATATTTCTATCCTTCAACACTTCTGCTTGTACAGGGGCATGTTCCGGCTGCCTGTACCACACCTTCTGACCAGATGCCTGCGGCTGTATAACTATATCAGGCACCAAAGGGGGAGTGCTGATCTGCCATAGGGACATGATGGAGGGGTCCCTGTAGCAATGAAGATTGGAGTGTTGACCACAATATCAGTAGGTCATGTACCTATTACTGGAGGGACTACTGAGCCTCCCACCTCCAACAATCTCTCCCAAGGTGCAAGTAGGCCACATCACTTCAGTCCTACCTGCACCTTCCAAGGTCATTTTATTCTATGGGTGCCTGGATCTAAATTCTCAGGGGCAGGGAGCAGAAGATTATTTTCATTACCAATCTGGGGTCTTACCTGATGATCAGTGCCCGTAATTTCGATTCTAAGCAGGGTGGGCCCATGTTGTCTGCAGCATTCTCAGGGCACTGGATTTGCTGTCTCGGGGTCTTTCATTCAGGTCCCACAAGGTTTCATACAGTCTTTTCGTCCACCCCGGCAGGGACTGGGAGTCTGTCTTCAGGGCAGCCTTAAGAATACCGTTATAACATTCAATGAGGCCTGCCCCCATTGGATTATATGGCAGGTGGAATCACCATTCAATGTTACTCTCTTCTGCCCAGCACTGTATCATTGCACCAGTAAAATGAGACCCTTGGTCGCTCTTGATGACTTGAGGTGTCCCACAGTCAGACATCAGTTTAGTGAGTGCCTTGATGCCTGGTTTACCTTAGGCACTGGATAGGCCTGCAGTAGCCCACTTGCAGTGCTGATGCAGGTCAGGGCATACCTCCCCCCTTCAGACCAAGGAAGGGGCCCAATGTAATCGACCTGCCATCGCTGGAGAGGATTGTGTCCTCTAGCAAGATGGGCTATTATTTCGGGCAACAATCTCGGTCTCATCCTAGAGCAAGCATTGCAATCCTGGCATGACTGGACGATGTCAGGCAGCTGTAAGGGCAGTCCCCATGCTTTAGCAGCTGCCCACATTGTCTTTTGTCCTGCATGCCTTAGCTTCTGATGTAACCAACGGACAAAGTTCTCAGATGGTGAATTCTCAGTCCATCAAACTCAGACCAGTGTGTTGGCTTCATCATTTTCCAGTGACTGTAGGGGCTGATGACCAGAAATATGGTAGACACATGTAGTCCTGTGTTTGACTATATTCCATATGTCTAACCACATGTCTACCTGACTCAATCCTCAGTTATCGCTGGCAGGTCCCCCTTTCCATGCAGCCTATCTCTAAGCAGAGAGACCTGGGACACCTTGCCAGTGAAGGCTGATGCAAACGCTTCGAGCTCTTTCTGTAATCTCATCCTTACCTTTGTCCACTGCCATTAAATCATCTTCCGCACCCATTCAGCAATAGTCCCACATCTTTCTTAATCATCCTGTTACTACTAAGCTGGTGGCAAGAACTCTTTTTTTTTGTCTTTTTTGTTTCTTGGCATGTCTTAGACCAAGCTGAGGTTTTGTTAACACTATCCCTATATCCCCGGCAGTACCCTTTCGTAGTCTATCCCTGTTACCACTTCTATCTCTGTGATTATTATTATATTTTTACATTGGAGCTCTGTCACAAGCTTTAAAATGTGGTTGAAGGAATGATTTTTTTAGAAGGCAAAAAAATCATACCCATGCTATGTACACAAAGTAAGCATTCTAGTAAACGTCATGACAGATAATTATTTTTGTTTGAACTGTGAGTGAAACTAGCATTTTTTTAATAAGAAAAGTATTGATCAGCAATACATGCATAGATTTTCACATTTTCACAATGTGTTTAATTTTCACAAATTAAAAATTATCAAATCACAGTAAAGAGATTAATATTTTTCTCAGGCAGAAGTTGAAGTCTTTGTTGTTGAATACAAAAATAAAAATAAAAATATATTAAATACATATGCAGGTAATCTCACACAAAATTCACCAAGCAATTTCAAAAAATATATAAAAAGTCTTCAGAAAAAGTTTTACCTGTTCAATACAATACAATTTTCGCCATCAGATAGCATGGCATAGTCATGTGTTATGGTAGAATTTGGGCTGGGATGCTCTCAGTAGAGGGAAAAATATCAGGCTGCACTTTTCAATCTTCAGCATTCCAAAAATTGTGAAAGACAGAAAGCAAGTAAGAAAGAAAGTTTCAAGTTTTGCCTGTATTTCACTTAATTCAGTTATGTATCACATTTATTTAGTACTCCGCTCCAGAGCTGATACAGATCCAGAACACTAAAGGAAAAAAAAATATTTGGACTCAGTTAAAAATGTTTGCTGATACACTGAGAACACTGTGTCTGTTAAGTCCCTATAATTCAAACAACATGTTTTTCAGTCTATGCTCACTTTTGTCTCATTAAAGAAAAAGTTTTGCCCAATTCCAATGTAGTAAAAAAGAATTTTAGAGCTGTTTGCATATTTTAAATCCCAGATTACTTGATGTATGTGACAAATCACATGGTTAAAGTATTCTAGATGGCAAAATCTAATTAATTGGAAGATTCTGCCTCCTTTTATTATGAATGCAAATTAAAGCAGAAGGAGAAGCAATTGAGAGAAAACAATAAGAGTAGACAAAGAGTAAAGGCTTGGGTATAAGTCTTGCTAACCTTTTGCAGTAAACATGAAAACAATGGTGTTATCCAGGATGAGACTTTAAAAATGTTAAGGATGCAAAAGATAAAAAAGCAAAAACCTTTAACATGCTGGGATTAATAATTTGTGTGTGTGTGTGTTTATATGTTGTGAAAAGCTCCTGGCTAGTCTCAAGTCTGCAGGAAGTAAAACTAGTTGCTAAAATAGTTACTTCTGTCAAACTTAACTCTTACAAGGTATTCACGGTGTTTGTATGAAGATGCTGTATGTATGAGCTTTATGTGATAAAGAAAGACAAAGCAATTGAGAACACCTAAGTGAATTGCCTCTCATCTCTCTAAGCTGACTGCATGTAGCTTAAAAATTAATTCTGCAAGGATAGGTGGTACAGGTCATGTCCCAGAGTTGCATAAAAGACACTCAGTGCTCATTTAGGCAGGTGGTTCTTCCTTCAATAGGTGACTGAAAAAAATACTGTAACATCTGCTTATTAAAAAAATCTTCATTTCCTTAAGCTGTAGAAAAAGTAAACAGCAGAAGTAGCATCAGAAGAACAAATAAACATGCCTTTTTAATTATGAATTATAAGATTATAAGCATCATTGAAGGTGTGCCACTATCAGAAAGAAATACATTAGAAAATCCCCTATGCCAATCTCATGTTAGGGTTTCTGGTACCTGTACTCAGGCACAGCAGAATCAGGAATGGACTCAGTGAAAGCACATGGGTCTCATGTATTGAAAGCAGAGCCACTGACATGTAAGAGTCCTGTTTGTATATCACTGCATTCAACTTTCTCAGGGTTTATGCTAACAACTGCAACGTATGGTGCCATAGATGTTGGGTGTGTTGCACAGTAACTCTGGGAACCCTTTTATACTTGCAGATCAGGTTCTTTCATTGAGAAGCAGATGCCTCAACAACAGTGCTTTCTGTCAGGAAGTGTAAACCTTAACTCTTTCCATAGTGACCACATAGTAATGTTAAAGAATATCATAGTTATGAAGAAGATAATAAAATGAAAGAAAATAATCTATTAAAAATGTATTCAAACTTTAGCAAACTTATAATTAGGGCTTTCTCTGTGAAGCCTAGGGAGAAAAACTAATTATTTTCAGATTGTGTAGCTGATGCAGAAAATTTTGTAAGTAATTATATATTTATTAGTAATTTAGAAGAGCAAGAAACTGTAACTCCATGTGGTCTGGAAAAAAAAAAAAAATCTGCCTCCACTAAGAGATCTTCTTTTCCGAAATTATGGGCTAATTTTATAAGAAATTATACATTAGAACATATTGATGTACTTATCTTGCAGGAGGGAAATAGTGTAATGGAATTATTTTAATATAATTTTGTTCCAAATCTTGAGTACAAAATATTTTAATGTTGTTCTTCATGAGAATGAATTATTGCATACATTAATTTTGATACAGTCTGTCTTCATATGAAAATACATTTTAAATGAAAATAAGTTTTAAAATATTGTGCACAATGATTATAAATTATTAGTATCAGCAGAACTTGTGATTTTTATCACAAAATGATACAAAATGTACAAAATATCTGAAAACAGACTTCAGTTGGCAGTAAATTACAATCAAAGGACAGTATAAATATGTGGTCAAGCTGCAAGAAAAATCAAACAAACAAACAAAAAACCCAAACACATGCAACAGAATGTGAGTGGTTCATTTTCTAACTTAGAGATCCCTTGTTTTGTAATTAGTTTCTTAAACGGAAGAGCTGGCTGTTCCTTTCATCTACTTTTCTTATATTGAATAAGTTTGACCATTAGAAGCTTTTGT